TAATGCAAGGTTTCGAACAGCGAAATGCCCGGTCCTCAAAAGCTTGTGACTGGTCTTAATGGTTGGTACCGGTTCTTCAATCGTAGATGCTGGCCTCAGCGCTGGTGCCGTTCTTCACCGTCAAATGCAAGGATTACAAAGCGTATCGCCAGGTCTACGACGGCTGATGCCGGATCTCCAACGCTGGTGCAGGACTCCAATGCTGGTGCCGGTCTCAAGGTTTGGTGCCGGGTCTCAATGCTGGTGCCGGTCTCAAATGCTGGTGCCCGGTCTCAACGTTGGTGCTGGGTCTCAATACCGGTGCGAGGTTTAACGCCAATGCAGGATTGAAAGCGAGCGCCGGACTCAACGCTGGTGCCGGTCTCAATGCTGGTGCCGGTCTTAAGGCTGGTGCTGGTCTCAATGCTGGTGCCGGTCTCAACGTTGGTGCTGGCCTCAACGCCGGTGCGGGTCTTAACGCCAATGCAGGATTGAAAGCAAATGCCGGACTCAACGCTGGTGCCGGTCTCAAGGTTGGTGCCGGACTAAACGTTGGTGCTAGCCTCACCGCCGGTACGGGTCTTAACGCCAATGCAGGATTGAAAGCGAACGCCGGACTCAGCGCTGGTGCCGGACTCAACGCTGGTGCCGGACTCAACGCTGGTGCCGGCCTCAATCCTGGTGCCGGTCTCAACGTTGGTGCTGGCCTCAGCGCTGGTGTGGGTCTTAACGCCAATGCAGGATTGAAAGCGAACGCCGGACTCAACGCTGGTGCCGGACTCAACGCTGGTGCCGGACTCAACGCTGGTGCCGGCCTCAATGCTGGTGCCGGTCTCAAGGTTGGTGCAGGTCTCAATGCTGGTGCCGGTCTCAACGTTGGTGCTGGTCTCAATACCGGTGCGAGGTTTAACGCCAATGCAGGATTGAAAGCGAGCGCCGGACACAACGCTGGTGCCGGCCTCAATGCTGGTGCCGGTCTCAAGGTTGGTGCTGGTCTCAATGCTGGTGCCGGTCTCAACGTTGGTGCTGGACTCTCTTGAGAGCTGCGGGTCTTAACGCCTAAGCAGGATTGATATGTAATGACGCTACTCAACGCTGGTCCCA